GCCCCCGCCCGACCTTTTTTTTTTTTTTTTTTTTTTTTTTTTAAATTTTATTACTGTTTTTTGGTACGGGGGATCGAACTCGGCAGCGGAACCTCTGATCTACACCCCCGGCCCGACCTTGTATTTTTTGAGACGGGCTCTCGCTGCATTGCCTGAGCTGGGCTTGAGCTTGCAATTCTGCTGCCTCGTCCTGCAGTGCTGAGATGAGGGGCGAGCGCCCATGCGGTTTCTGTGCCCCAGCCAACAGGCGTCCTAACAGGCGCTGTGACCCCCTCGGCGGCCGGAGCTCGGCGTGATCGCTGAGACGGAGCGAGCTCTTCCGCGGGCGGAGGCTGGTCAGCGCCCACGCATGGGTCCTCGCAGGCCTCCCGGGATGCCTGCCCGTGTGGCCAGCACCGTGGTCCCCTCCCAAATTACAGCGTGCCTCTGAGCGCCTGTATCTTTCAGTAAAGCCATTATTTTAAAATTGTCATTTTCATAAAATCTTAAGAAATTAAAAGGAATTCTGTCTGTTGACCTGGGATTTCTCTCCTTCTCCGTGGTTTTTAATGGTAAAAGAAGTGTGAGAAAGGACTTTCTAGTCTTGCCTTCTTGTTTTTACATGAGTAGGACTTACAGTGTAAAATACAAATTCTAAAAACTAAGCTTTTCTTGACTAACGAAGAAAACATGGAAAGTAGGGAAGTCTGGTGAAAGTTCATTACTGCATTAATTTAGAAACTGTGGGAAAGAGGGGAAACGTCGGTACTGAATAATTAAAACACCGAGTTACTGGTACGGCTGGGCCTCATGTGAGCACTTCCTCATCGGCTTGTGACTGGCTTTCTCCCAGTTCGTCTGCATCGCCCAGCAGGATTACTGCCGTATCCTCAACCAAGTGGAGAAGAACATGCAGAAGGTGGAGGAGGAAGGGGAGATTGTCATGGTGAAGGAGCACCGCGAACTGGATCGCACCGGGACCCGGAAGGGCCACATCGTCATCAAGGTGAGTTGGGGAGTAGCCTCGGGGCAACCTTCTTTTCTTTTAAATTTTAAAGATTATCGGTAGTGATGCAAAACCTTTACATTTCAGTTTATTAATTGTGATTATGTTGCTTCCCAGCTCGTTTTAAAATCTGGACACTATAATTGACCCTTCAGGGTGGTGACCAGGCCTTTGTGTTTGTCACAGGGCACCTCGGAAAGGCTAACGATGCATCTGGTGGAGGAGCATTCGGTGGTGGATCCAACATTCATAGAAGATTTCCTGTTGACCTACCGGACTTTTCTTTCTAGCGCAATGGAAGTGGGCAGAAAATTACTGGAGTGGTTTAATGACCCGGCCCTCAGGGATAAGGTTGGAAATCTACCCTGTCTTGTCTCTTCGGCATGAATACTGCAGTGGGCACTTACACATCAGGTTACTTAGTCGGATTCAAGTTCAGAACAATGTGATAGAATGAGAGAATACTTTTTAAGCAAAAAATGCACATATTCCTTCAGTTCAACCTTGGAAAGAATTTATTTTTTACTCCAAAGGCCAATAAACTGGTCACCAAGTGTTTAAATGTACTCGGATGGAAGTGTGTTAGAACGTAACCCAACCTGACACCCTGCGTCATGGGAGTCTGCGGGCTGTCTGGAAATAGTCCGTGTGTACCCGTGATGGTTGCCCTGTGCAGTGAGCAGGGGCAGATCTCCCTTCATCACAGCGGCCCCACCGGGCCGTCGTCCATGCGGCTGTCCGCTGGCTGGGGCTCTGCTGCAGCCGGGCCTCCTTCCCGTGTGCCTCTTCTCAGATCTCCAGGCCAGATACGGCTCTCCATCCTTACCGATTTTGTCCCTTCAACCTTATTTTTTGGTTTCTGTCTTTAGTATTAACCTATTTTGGATTTATTGTACTTTTGCTTTTGTCTTGACTTAAAGAATGCTTTGAAAGTAAGGCAGGATGTTCAGTTAAATACATCCCCAGATTCACCGACACTCCTGACAGAACTGCATTTAAAGTACACACATTTTTGGGTGGTCACTTTTTATGAATAATTTCCTTGTTAAAAATTTTATTGTAGTTTGTTCAACATGGGGTAAATTATTTGAAAATTAGGTATCTTTTATGAAACAACTTCAATCATTAGCACTAAAAGGAAGGCGACTCAGAGAAACTGCTTTTTCAGGTGACACGGGTAGTCTTGCTGTGGGTGAATAATCACTTCAATGACTTTGAAGGAGACCCTGCAATGACTCGATTTCTAGAAGAATTTGAAAATAATCTGGAAAGAGAGGTAACATTTGTGACTTTTTTGAAGTACCAGCTCAAGGTTCCTTTTATGGCCCTTGTCTTTGAACTGATACCACCCTTTCTGCATTTTTGTAGAAAATGGGCGGCCATCTAAGGCTGCTAAACATTGCCTGCGCCGCCAAAGCCAAAAGGAGACTGATGACGCTGACAAAGCCGTCCCGGGAAGCCCCTCTGCCCTTCATCTTGCTCGGGGGCTCTGAGAAGGGCTTTGGGATCTTTGTTGACAGCGTGGATTCAGGCAGCAGAGCCACCGAAGCAGGCTTGAAACGTGGTGATCAGGTATGATGCTCCTAACCTGACCGAGGGCGAGTTTTAGCAGCTTCCACTCCGTCATGGTGACACTGACGTTGATTTTATAATTTCATTTTTAGATATTAGAAGTAAATGGTCAAAACTTTGAAAACATCCAGCTATCAAAAGCCATGGAAATTCTTAGAAATAACACACATCTGTCTATCACTGTGAAAACAAATTTATTTGGTAAGTATTTTTGCATTCTTTGAATTTTCTCTTTTTTGGAGGGAGTTGTTATTGCATTTAGATTTCAGTCGTGAAAGGAGTCTTTTCTATAAGTAATATTTGAAACAACATGAAGATCAAAGTCTAATAAAGTGTATAAAATATAGAATTTATTATATAAGTGTGTAATGATATCTAAGTCAAAATCTGCTTTGACGATCATAAGATTATTTATCTCTTTGCTTATTGATAAATGAAATCTATATTCTTTTGGTAACTTCACTTTTGGTGACTTAAAACACCTGTCAGGAGTACATTTCTTTCTTAATTTTACTCTGGCAAAGCAGCATCCAAAGTAGATTCTTGATATCACCAGGCAAGCTGTTTTTCTACAGAATTTTAGTTTGGGTAACTGAAATCTGTACTTTTCATTTATTTCTGGGTTCTGTAGTCGCCTCAGCATTGTTCAGATTTCTTGCAGTTGGTGTTTTGTGATGTTTCTGTATCTGTTTGTTTTAGTATTTAAAGAACTTCTAACAAGATTGTCAGAAGAGAAAAGAAATGGTGCCCCTCACCTTCCTAAAATTGGAGACATCAAAAAGGCCAGCCGCTACTCCATCCCAGACCTAGCTGTCGATGTAGAGCAGGTGATAGGACTTGAAAAAGTAAACAAAAAGAGTAAAGCCAATACCGTTGGAGGGAGGAACAAGTTAAAAAAGATACTGGACAAGACTCGGATCAGTATCTTGCCTCAGAAACCATATAAGTGAGTGTCTGCATAAACTTGTGCATGTTTTATTGTGGTAAATAAAATGACATGCAGGTAGTGATGGGATTAATGTTTGCGTGTGAGTCTACTAAGGCCTTCGTGGACAAACTTAGAAGCAATCTGAGACTGTTGGTTTGTTTTAATCCTGGTCCCTGCCTGCATCCAGCTTTTGCTAGAGACAGTCCAGCGTGTCCTCACTTGGGCTTCACGGGATGTGTCTGTGTTGGCTCTCTGCTTTGGTCTGGGCCCGTCCTCGGTGGCGTCTTCTCTCCAGTGGCATTGTCACTTCTTCTCGCTCTGTTATGTCAGTGTCGCCAAGACTTCAGGGACCAAATGCAGGCTTCCTTCCAGTCTTCCCCGTTGGCTCCACAGACTTGGCTTTCTGTGGGAGGCGTGAACAGTCCACACAGGTCGGTTCAGCTGGACAGGGTAGTGAGCAGTTGACACCAACAGGTTGTAGCTTGTATGTCAAGTCCCACGTGGGAGGAGTTTCAGAGATCCGACTGTTTGTGTCAGGAGCTCAGGTAGACAAAGCTGTAGGTGGCCCTGATGCATTTTTTTTTAAAGCTTTGTTTCTTTGCTTATTTGTTTCACTTTAGTTGAGTCCAGGAGTGATTTAGAAAGCTCAAGTACCATCAGCTGTTTATCTAGGTGTTAAGTAACATAATACCATGTTCTCTATTATTATATGTTCCTTAAAGTACACACTAGAAAAGAAAACACATTGGAAAGTATAGGTTAATTTATTTCTTTGATAGTTTAACGTTATGTCTAAAGAGAAGTTATATATACAGATATTTAGGATTACATTCAACATCTTTTTTCTTGCTAAAATTTTCATCCACAGATTAGAGATGTAATTTAAAACTTGCTATGATAACCTGAGTGTCAGTCTTGTCTCCATTGAACTGGTGGTTTTTAAAGAAAATTTTATAGTAGAACCCTAAGGATAAGTGTGAGAGTGATGGTTTTACAGCCTGCAAGTCTTAGTGGTTCCGCCTCCTGCTTCACAAGCGCAAGGTCCTGAGTTTGATCCCGGGTCCAAAAAAAATTACAGTAAGTTTCTAAGAGTCAGTGGATTAGGACAGCCAGCACTGATAGGAAATAGGAATCAATCTTTAAAGTAACTCTGAATGGAAATCTTACATTTAAATGAATGAAAAAACAAATTGCCTGCACGTAGAATTACTAGCAGCACAACAACAACAACAGCAAAAAGATTGGACAGTTGTGTCTGACCATGACGAAGTAAGAACCTTGAAAAGATGAAGTGGCCGGCAGGCAGCTTGACCTTGGGAAGCGTGTCACATCCCTCTGGGATGCTGGCAAGGAACTCTGCATGAGAATGCTCTGTATTACTTTGTTGTGTGCCTCAAAATCTAGGCAAGAGAAAAGAAGAGAAATTGCTTGGTTTTAAAACACTGAGGAAACATTTTAAATATGTGGTTCACTTAAATATTTTCTCACAAAAGTTATTGGAAAAAGTGTATGATTCAATTGAAATGGAAAAAGTAATTATATTTAAAAGTACATAGGATCTTTTAGAGTCTAATAGACTGATTTAATGCAGGTCACTAAACTTTCCTAGAAATTAGTGTTAATGGAGGTCTTTTTGATTTGGTTTTCTTTTTTGCTGTGCTAGGGTTGAAACCCTAAAGCTGTGCATTCTAAGCAAATGTACACTTCTGAGCCACACCCCAGACTATGAAGACAAGTTACTAAAGTAGTAGTAGTAGTAGTAGTAGTAGTACAGACATTTTCAAGTTTTAATGTCACAGTGAGGTATTTTTCCTTACACTGTTATAGAAGCTCAGATGCTAGGCACTGGCAGTGATAGGCATGGCAGCGTTATGTGCAGGGAGGGTGAAGAAAAGGGCAGAGCATATGCCTGGGCGAATTCAGACTTGGTTGCCAGGTGAGTAGAGAGGCGGCCAGTGCACCTGGGTAGAAGCAGTCAGCCATCAGCCCACACAGTCTACAGAAGCTGAGCAGTGAGCGGTGGTGCTCACAGCGGGCTGGTTCTGATTCAGGCTTGATACAAAGCACCCCCAGCTCGAGAGTGCAGGTGGGAAGCCAGAACTGACAGAGGCCAGGGAGAGCTCTTGGGAGGTGCTCAAGGTGGCTGAGAGGCCTCAGAGGAGCCACCTGTGCTGGGAGTGGCCAGGCACAGCACCTGGCCTGAGCTCTGGTGGCCGTGTGCCCTGTGGAACCTAAACCTTCTTGGCAAAGACTACAGTATGTGGCTGTAAAGCAGAATTGTACTACTACGTGAAGGTTTTTATCTTCGGCAGAACATTAGTACTTTAGTCTTTGTATACTTGTCTGCGTGTATATAAATAGGAATCTAGCTTTGTCCTGGACTCACCTCACACTACAATCATCTTATGGCTTAGTTTACCTCTCAACCCTAATATAATTTTATTGATTTTTATTTCAGAGAGCTTCTAGATGTTAGTTAAAACTACAACTATTTGGGGGCCAGGGATTTGGCTCAGTGGTGCTGCTGCCTGCCTTACAAGTGCAAGGACCAGCGTTCCATCCCCAGTACTAAAAAAAAAAAAAAAAAAAAAAAAAAAAA